ATTATGATACTTAGTTCCCATTTTTCAGGCCTGATGAAAGGCTCTAATGCCATTTGTGACAGCCCAAGCTTTTATCTTTGAGATATTATCTGCTTTGGCTAAATTATCTCATGATTTTGTTCAATTAGTATAACTTCCTAGGAGTTCACCCATCACATGATTGTTCCCATGCGAGCAAGCTTAAATTTAAAGTTTCTGATGAAACTCGAACCGTTAAACCAAAAAAAGCCTCGATGTTTAGTTTATGTAATTTTACTTATGGGGTTTCATAAATAATATAAAAATTGGGGTCCACATGATTGGTGGCACTTGTAGATAGAAAAATTTTAGATCTGTCTATGAAATGGAAAGAGGATTGTATCAGTCTGTATTTTGTGCTCGAGTTTTAGCCAAATGACATACTTTACACTGTTTGACGCGTTTCTCCGTATTTTGTTTTAATTTGGACCAAAAGAAATTCTCTGTCACTAAGAAATGATTCTTATCCTTGTCAAAGTATCCTACTGTAATCCATTTTTACTCTTTTATAACATAATTTTTCTCGTGCTCATGGGATTGTAATGTCTATTTTGGTAGAATAGTAGTCATATGACGTGAAATTGTTCATACGGGCTATCCTAACAACGATCTTAAATCTCCTGGAAATTCTCATTAGTGTGATGCATGTCTATCTTTTAATATAGTTACTTTGACTTTATAGTAGTGATCAACAAGTGATGATGACTCGCTGTATTTGCTACTTTATTATGACTCCCTGCTTTGTGCTTAAGTACAAAATTGAAAAAAAAGGATAATTTGACCCACGAGGCATTTTTGCCTTTTGGCTTAGTCTGGTTGTCTAAGAATCTTAGGGCCTCTGACTTTTTTGCCTTTTAGCTTACTCTTCGACGTGGAGAGCAAACTTGTTTGCCATTGTAGTGTAGAATTCATTATCAATATTTATTTATATACTCATTTAACTTCACTTAAAAAGACAATTCCGCCTTGACTTAACACAACTTCTGTTCTCACATGTGGAGGCATCATACTCTACCTCAAGCAAGTGATTAAAATTAGAAGGGCTAATAACGTGGCCCGAGTAACTTGTTACTTCAAAGCTTTAAGTTAGCATGCATTTGAAGTAACAATGTGAATCTATTTGACTTGATAAGATGTCAATCGATGAAACTAACATATTTGAGTAAATGATTGTGGCCTAGGCCAGTTCACAATAGTCCCTCCCTTCACTGGTTCCATCTCAATTCTGATTCTCGAAACAAGATATTCAAGGATGCTTGTATGCTACGTTAGAAAATGACACTTTTTCTGGTGGCCATGCAACTGCTCTGTCCAATGAACACCAGACCCCTGTCACATATGATGCAAATGTTCCTCCTTTGAATGACTATATACCAATTTTTTGTTGAAGTCATCAACCGTATGAAAGTGTTCAATGCGTTGGATAGCCCAAAAGGTATAACTATTAAATCATAATCCATCTCTCATGTTGAAAGCTTTTTTTCACTCATACTCCATCTCCTACTCATCCCAATCTGGTGATTGCCATTGCATAATTTGTCGTTGGAGAAGTATTGAATTCATATAACTGATCAAATAAATCATCAAATATTGGAATAAAAAATTAGTACTTGATTGTGCTCTTATTCACGAGCTTGCTATCAATGCGCATGCAACACGAGTTATCCTCTTTGGGCACACTCAAATTGACACAACATGTGGATTTGTGCTCTCATGAACTAGTCTTCAGGTCATAGAGTCCTCAACCTGTTTCTATAGCTTCTCATACTCTGCTGGTCAAATCTAGTTGGTTGGTCAGTTAGGCAGCACCAAGTATGAGCTGAAGCTTATAAAATATTGAATCTTTTGTAGGGGTGGCAATTCATGTGATAGTTTAGTCATAATATCTTGAAACTCCTCTAATAAATATTGCACTGCCTAGAGTATTGGCTTTTTTGTCTCAATGCCCTCTAATATAAGGCAAGTCTCTCTTATGGCCTGTAGAAATCTACCCCAAGGCACTGTAGATGTTATCTCTGTTTGAATATTATGGGCGCCATCAATGGCAAAAGTGCAATAATTTTCTTGTTTAGTAAATGGGTAGGTATTTTTGTGCCCATCATGAAGTGTATTTCTGTCATATTACTACAATCGGCCCAAAAGAATGTGATATCAAGTCACACTTGAGCTTACACGCTGTCTCCAATGGAAAATTGATTTCATTCTTTTTTTTGCGTGTGGGTAGTGAGGCAATTTGTACATCATTTGAGCAGATACTACATTCTTACATCTGCTTTTGTCTGTGATGAGAGTACACACATTTTCTTTCACAATGCAATGTGTACAAAGAAATATTATGCCTAAGCCATTGTTGATCTCTTTTTTGCTCGGTTTTAAGAACTCGTCAAACTAAAAACATCGCACCATCATTTGCGGATAATTGGTATTCCTCTCCAATTTCCACCTCTCTGAACCCAACTCAGTAAAAGAAATCGCTCTTTTGTTTGGGTAGTTGGATGTCAAGTGTCTTTATCCATGATACTTGAAATAGTTTCGTCTAGAAATTGCCTGAGGGGTGTTGATTTGATAAGTTCTCTTTTACTCTTATGTTGGGTTTTCACTAGTGAAAAGTTTTGGCCATATGGTCGGTGTGCTTTTGCTGTCCAATTTGATAGTTGACTTCGTTTGAAGGGTCGTGTGAAGATAATACTTCCGCATTCTCTCCTCTTTTAGTGCTAAGGTCTGGACATCTTGTAACGTCCAATAGAGATGTAACTGCACCATATTGCCAATAGAGAGTCTCGATCTTCTACAATATTTGGCTATGTTTTTTTCTTTGGGCTCCACCAATTACATTTTAATAAAACTTGTTTAAACTCAATGGTGTACTCCTTTACCGATAGATATTTTTACTATAGATGGTGAAGTTTAAAAATACGTTGTTTTTAGTGTGTTGTAAAGTACGCTTGTTGCATCTCTTTCTTTATCTTGGATCATGTTGTTATTTTATTTTTTCCTCACATTGGCACATACGCTTCATATTCTTCCACTCTAGGGAAGCTCTCTTTTTTAACTTAATATAAGTTAGTTTTACTTTTCTGTCAAATGGAACACTCTTGTACTAAAAGATTTGTTCAACTATTTGGAGCCACTTATTGAATTCGGTCAGATCCATACAATAGTCAAAATTCAACAAATTAAACTGTACTTCAACATCACCCTCCCTTCTATATTCTATGTTGAATTAGTGCAACATTGTCTCTTCGTTGCTTGAGATTTTTTTGGTAGAAATCATTTTCTTCTCTATTTGGATGGTCACCACTGTTGATGTGGGTGACTTTCTCATGGTTTTCAAAGCTAATGAGGTTTCTTTGCTGGTAGAGGGGTTTTTGATGCATATTATTCATGATAAGGGGTTGAACATCCGTTTGTGGACTTCTCACCGGATGCATGGTAGATCTCCGCGCTTTATGGTCATGGAGCTAAGAACTTTTTTGTATCTAGGGCTATTTAAAAGCTTAGGACTTGGTGGAGGATATTGGGTTTATGTTCAGAAATGAAAAAATAAAGAAAAAAAAATGCTTGAAGATTTTGGGTTCGCCGGGCTTTGCTATCAGATGACATCATTCTAGTATTCCTAGAAGGTGTTTTAGGGTCGGATTTTGGGGGGAGTGTTGTTATATGACAAGAGAAAGGGAATATGCAAAATCACGAATTTTGAAAAGGGGTTGAAGTTTTTGCGGCTGTACGCTCTGAAAACAGTGGGGCTAAGAACCAAATGATGAGGAGAATCAACCACTTATCTTCAAGATAAAGATTCACCACTTGAAGAAAAATAGGCTACAACTCTCTAAATAGGAAAAAATAGGGATAAAAATCTTCAAATAACATTAACCTAAACAAAAATCCCAAAACAAGGAAATAACAATAACTAAATCATTTTCAAGCAATAAATAATCCTAATTCTATTTCAAATAATATAAAAGTGGGGTCCACATGACTGACGTGACCTGTAGGTGGGAAAGTTCTGCTATAGGTATTTCACGGGATTGAAATCCTGTTCTGCTTGATCCAACAAGCACGGGAGATAGCGGGATCTTTCTCTTGTGTCAGTTGCCCTAATGGGCTATGCTATTGAAATCCCCAAGTTCAAGTTTTACTGCTTTCTGTGAAGCATATAATATGATAATCATTTACTGAGTTGTCGTTTTCCTTATTGTTAAACTTCTGCATACTTATTTTGAATCTTTTTGCATGTTTGATTGTTCGTAAAAAAGGGTCATTCAAATTCCATCCGAACTCAAGTAGTTAAATTTCGTTAGAGGAATCCTTACTTCATGATTATTCCCTGTAAATGGGAAAGAAAATGGTTGCGGTTGCTTGGGTATAACTTGTAACTAAAAACTTCTAAATTAAATTCAAAACCACTTGCAACGCTAAAGAAAAGGGCAAGAAAGTTTTGTAAATCTAATCTTAAATAGTTGAGACAAGGCTATTAATGATGATGATAATGATACACCTGTTTTTTAGCAAGGAACTTGCATTCTCATGTGTCCTGTGATGCTCTGGCAACATTATCAATTATGTCTGGGATATTGTAACAGTTCTACGTTTAGAACAGTTATCTTTGCACGTCAGGTTGTGGTGTCTTCTGTATTTTCGGTTCTTCGTTTTACGTGTGTAAGCTTATGCAAACAGAAATGATGCAAACCGTCTGAATACCAATTTTCTTATTGAATTATAGTTTTGGTTATGGATTGCTTATTCATAGCATTTTAAAATAAAATTATCTTTACAAATGTTTTTTTTGTATCTATTATCTGGCCATATGATTTATTTTGTTTGTTATATTCATATGAAGTGTACATTCTTAACTATGAATTTTATTCAAATGGGGTTGCCCCATCCTTTCTTTTAGCAGACAACATACTTCTTTTACTTGCTATTTTTCTTGTTGCTTTTGTATAGTTTCCTGATTACTTTACTATTCAATTTCTCTACAGAGCATTATACCAGGAATCCTTCAAGGGGACAAGTCAGATTCCCTTCTCTATGGCTCGGTTGACAATGGGAAGAAAATCTGTTGGAACGAATCATTTCACTCCAAGGTGTGTGCTTATTTATGTACATCATAAGGTATCTCTGATTATGTAAAAACTTTTCATCAGGTATAACTTTGAAAGCACTATTGTTTTTTACTTGAATAAATGATCAGAAAAAGCTGCTGATTTTGTAACACTTTTTAGAGATCTTTTTTTAAGAATTTTGATCTATGTATTTTGTACTGACCTGTCTATTTGAGCTACTCCCCCTTTTTAAATATTTTTTATAGATATTTTTCTTTTAACTCTATTTTAGTTTTCAATTTACCTTAAAGCTAATTATCAACAATACACCATAGTATGAGATACATGTGATGAAAAATGTGGATAAGGCGTATGATTGACATTGAGCGGTCCTCCGCGATCCCTTGCATACGCAAGATTGGGATGAGGAAGGGCTTCCATCTTGTGAGATCCATGAAGAGGGATTTTCCTCTACCATTAGCTTTGGCCAGGCCATATGGGCCTACCTTTCCGTTTCTTTCTTTTTATATTCTCCCGCCACCGAGAAACATTCTTCTTTGGATTCTTGGCAGCAAGAATCACTCGTCTATCATTGGGTTGCTTCTTGTATTTAAAGTCCCGCTCAACAATCAACATCCACTCAAGGAAATCATCTGACTCCATTCTCCCCTCGAAGATAGGTCGGTCCACGTTTGTTATTTAGGTAATAGTCCATCAGTATTATTTTTTATAGAGTTTGAAGGTGTCTGCATCACATCACTCGCAGTAACAGTAACAGTAACAACAGTATCATGGGGAGTATAAGCATGGTTAAAATGGTATCCAGTGGGCAGCTCTGCTAGGGTTTCGGCCAATGGTGATTCTTAGTGTTGAATCCTCCGGCTTCACTCCACCAGCTTCGTCGTGCTAGACGACGAAGAGTTTCACGCCATCGACTTCGTCGTGCCTGAAGATGAAGGGCTTCACTCCATCGGCTTCGTCTTTGCAGTTTCTGGCTGCGCCTCTCTCGCACATCGTCTTCTTTCCTCTTCTTGACGCACTCTCTCGCCACCCTGATACGAGGTGGTTTGCTTCATTTGCAGTCTCTAGCCGCTATTTTCTTGCATGCACTCCTTGCATGTCGAGATGGCCTCGGGCCTCCGTTCCTACGTCGCCGCCCTTGCCGGCGATAACCCCGCTCGCACCCTTATTTCATGTATGTTCTCACAGCGATACCATGATACTTTACCATTGGGCGTTGAAACCGGATTTCTCAAAAAAACATCCCATAAAAATGAAAAACCTGCAATCTTTCTCTCTGAGGCCGAAATCTCTATCTTAGCTTCATTCTGTTGGCTAGCCTTAGTTGGTAAGTTCCTCTGTTGAAACCCCAAACTCGAGCTAATTCGAAAAGATTTTGAGCAAATGTGGCTGAAAGGGGAATGAAAGATTGGTAAATTGGATGGTAGACATATTCTTGTACAATTATCTGATAATGAAGAATATCCCCATTTATTTGCGAGAAGACTCGTTAGAATAGATAACCATGTGATGAAAGTTTTAAAATGGACGGTCGATCTTGACTGAACCTCTTACCATTCTTGTATGGTTGCGCTTCCAAGGTCTGAAGTTCCATCTCTTCAATCACGAGCTCCTCTACTCCTTAGCTATGGTTTATGGTAAACCCCTCAAAGTTGATATTCATACAGTTAATTTGAGTCGGTCTTCTGAAGCCAGAGTTTTGATTGAACAAGACACTACTTATAACTTTTTCGGGGGAGATCTGGATTGGCTCACAGCACCGGGCTTTTTGGCAGCGGGTGGAACTCGAACAGATCCCACTTTACTGCACCCACTGTCGTATGTTTGGACACTCTCACTTCCAATGTGATCATTTGCACCCTCATTTAAAACCTCGGAGTAAAAATGTTACTGGGCCCTCTGCCCATACTCACATCTGTCCCCCCTAAGTGCAATCCACTGGCGATTGAAACATTAGTTAAAACGTCATCAACTCCCTCCCACTACCGGAGACCCCCCCTCTGACAATACTGTTTATGTTTCTGCATTGGTCGTGTTGCCGGATAGTTCAGCTGGGCAACCTAAGCTTCAAATCTTTTTGAAAACAATGCTTAAGGACCTTTACCTACAAAGGACAATGATCGGTTCGATAATCTAGAAAGCTTTGAAGCTCCTCATCTTCAGGAAGCATCAGGTGCAGAGGAGACAATTCATACTTCACATACCCTATAACTTATCATTGTTGCAAAGGTTGGCAATATTTGTACTGCGGCTCTACCACCTCATTAGAACAAGCAAGTTGTTATTGTTAGTCAGGCACAAGGGGCTCATCAGCCTATACATGCCCGTCAATCTGTCGACCAACACACTGATCAGATGAGCCAATCTTCGGATGAGGAATGACATGTTTACAACAGGAGGAAGAAGAAGAATGGAAGCATACTCGAGCACATGAACATAATGGATGATACATTGGTTACTTCGGGTAATGACACAAAACTCAACAATTTGTTAGCTGACTCCCTTCCTAGAACTAGAGTCAGAGGCATAACTAAATTGGGTCGTCCCTAGTTATTTGATTCTGCAATTTGACAGGTTTTGGTTTTTTGGGTTTACATGTATCTTTTCTTTTGGGAACCTTTGTGTGTGTTGTATCGTGTGGGTAGAGTGTTTTTTTTGGGCTCTCTCATACAACATATCTGTATCTTTTCCTTTTAATATATTAGCCCTTCGGCATTTTCAACACACACACACACACACACACACACACACACACACACACACACATAAGTATGGTTGTGCTTGCAACGATGTCGTCTCCCACGCTCGGCTCTGCTAGGGTTTCAATCCATGTTGAACCCTAACAACCCTTATCGCATAAAAGATCATTGCTCCGACGTCATCTCTCCGTCATCGTCGGCTCGCGCTACTTCGACGTCGATTGCGGCTCGCGTCTTGTCGTCTCTGTTCGAAGCCGATAGAGTTTTCACATCTTGTCGTCTCTGTTCGGTTACATCTCACGGAAGACGAGCAGGGGTCGCGTCTTCGTCTTCCTCCTTCGTCTTCGTCCTCATAGAAGACGGGAAGGGGTTTGTTTCCTTTTTTCGTCTTCCTTCTCAACTTAGCTCGATAGCACCGAGTGTTTGGTCTCTTCGGTTCCTGACCGTCTTCTTTTGTCATTCTTTCCCTCTGACCGCCTTGGCAGGACTTCTAATTGGTGATGGAGCTTTCTTCTTCTTTGATTGAACCTGACAAAGCCTCATTTGCCCAAGTGTCTTAAGTTATAAGGAATATCGTGATGGTACAGGTGATCTTTCATTTATTAGGAATACAAGCAGAAAAAGTGGGAAAAAGCAGAAAAAGTGGGAAAAAACAACACTCTTTTTCTCAGAGTCAGAAATTTCAACCCTGCTGACAAATTCAAGTTTGCTCTTATTGGAAAATTTCAGTGGGGGCACCCACTTATGAAAGTTATCAGGAAAAGTTTTGATGATCTCAAATTAACAGGAAAGTGGAAAGTGGGACTCATGGATGAGAGACATGTATTGATTCAATTAACCGTGGTTGAAGATTACACTTGGATTTTCTCCAAAAAATATCTCAGCATTGCTGGTAAATCAATTAAGCTAGCCAAGTGGTCTGTTAATTTTGACCCCAATCATGAACCTCCTACTGTACCGGTATGGTTCAGTCTATCAGGTCTCAAGCTGCACTTTTTTCATCATTAGGTTCTTTACTCTATTGGGGCCATATTTGGAGATTCTATGAAGCTAGATCTACCGAATTTCAACTTAACCAGACCTTCTGTGGTCATAATACTTGTGGAAAAAGATATTACATTACCAGATATTACTGAAATCTGGTTGGACACAACTCATAATAAATATTGACAACAAATCATCATGGAGCATATACCGCCGTACTTTTCCCATTGTAAGATGTTTGGGTATACAGCATACACTTGATAAATGTCATAAGTTACATCCTAATTTGAAATCTAAAGATCAATTGAATAAGGATGGATCTAATCCCACTGCTCTTAACATATTTGTTCCATCTGGAGAGAAAGCTACCACAGAAAAGGTTTTGGATATTGCTAATGATCAGCCACCTATCATCCTTGCTGAGAAGGTGCAAACTGATCTTTTACCCAACATCGTAGTTCCGAATCGAGCTTGGAAACTTATTGGATGATATTTTGGTCACTACTAGCAATACTAGCAATGACACTCATCTTATCACTCATCTTATCAATTTATTAGTTGGTTCCTTTCCTAGAACTAGAGGTATATTCAAAGCAAAATTGGATCGCTCTCTAGCTACCTGATACTACGTTTTTTTGACATTTTTTTATTTTTTTCTAGGTCTTTTGTAATTTTCTGTATTTACTCTTTTTTGGAACCATTTGTATGTGATGGTTATCGTGGGGGAAGGGTGTCATGTTTGGACCTTTGCGTACAATTTATATGTATCCTTATTTCCTTTTAAATATATATATATATATAAGCATGGTTGTGCTTGATTTTGTCGTGACCTTTAGATATTTTTACCATTATGTTTGAAGAAAGGTATCATCTAGTAAATAAGATGAGAAACGAATTGCATGAGACCCAATTATGTAAATTCTTAAAATTAGCTTTATCTTATTCCTCTTCATAGTCTCTACCTATCTTTTGTTTTCATATTTTACCGATTCATTCATATATTGAACCTGTTTTTCTTTTATAAATTTTATTTGCCATAATGGCTTTTTACGCAATTAGGTTCTGGAGGCCGCCAAGCTATTGCATTTGAAAGAGCACACAGTTTTAGATGGTTCTGGCAATGCTATCAGATTAGCTGCTCCAGTGGAATGCAAGGGCATTGTTGGGAGTGATGACAGGTGATAAATTCATTGCAACTGTATTAACTATTTTAGGATTATTGTGCTGCCTATATATTTTTTTTACATATTTTAATGATGAACAGTTTTTCATTAGATTTTAATTGCCTTTTCTAAGTAATTGTTTGGAAATGGTTGGAGCCACGGTCCAGAAGTGAATTTCATGGTTGTTTATTGACTTCACACACTTTTGTTAACAATGTGTCAGTGTTTGTTTGAACTCTAGCGAGTTTCAATTTTACCCATCATTTTATTATTTTATTACTATTAAGAATAAAATTGATCATCTAAACCGATCACTTTTTAATTTATATTATTTTATTTTTATATTATACAAATAAAAGAAACGAAGTTGATTCTACTCTCTCATGAATGAAACTTCAAACCTCTATGAAGGTGAGTTAAAAAATATGTACTCAGTTTCATCGATTCCTGCCAGACAAACACCATAAAGTTGTTTTGAATCTTAATCTCTCCCAAATAGATAGTGTAACAAAATGACTCAAGTGTGATAATGACGTTGACTGTATTTAACATTTTAATCTTCTTCAATATCAGAGGTTGACTTCTAGTTTATCTTTTGGATGAAATACGTAAAAATAATAATGCATATTTGACATAGTCGAAATAAACTTTGGAACTTTCAGTATCTTTGAACATTAATTTGAAGTCTAGTAGAACTTACCGAGAGGAGTTAATTGTAATCAGTTTTATTTTTATCATTTTTGCATTTCATATGAGCTTTTATTTTCTTGCCAGGCTGTTTGAAACCGATCTAGGACTCCTAATTGGTGTGGCTGGATCGATAGCAATATTAGTGTGTTTGTAGAATAATAAGAAAGGGAAAATTCAGGACAATGAGAAGGATTTTGACTGGACTATGTGAGACTGCTGTTGTCTCGCTGGAAGACAGCAAGAAAGAAGTCGGCTTACTGCTGTAGAGGACAGGTATCAGTGTTAAGGTCAAACCACCAGCTATTTCAAGTCAGAATGTAGGTACAGCATCTATAATGAAAGAGGTACAGCAGTCTCAAGGAAGAAAGTACCAAAGAAGCAATCTTCAATCTTTAAATCAATCAAAAAGGTATTCTTATAGGTCTCCTAGGATAGCAGTTATACTAAGCAGCAATAAATTCTAACTTTAATTTAAAATAAAGGAAATATGGGCCCACCAGGTCGGCTTGCCCTGTAGGAGGGAAGCCGATCTCATGATGGAATGACCTAGGCGAAAATTGTACTCCTCATTTTCCGATTCACCTGGGTGGGAGTAGCTCAAACTACACCACTTTTGTCAGGGTGGAAGGGCTTGAACTTTTTTTTAAAAGCTTTTCGATTCTCATAGTACATCGTTCAACCATCGACGCTAAATGCAGTAGATGTATTATAATCTTTCGACTGGTTAATCTTATAAATACTTTTATTAATCCTCTTGACTAATTTGAACGGTCTATGAGTTCTAGGCTTGAGCTTTCCAAAGAAATATTCATAAGTTCTCTCGTTCTTCGCTATGATTCATGCCAAATCACTTTCCTTAAAGATCATAAACTTCAATCTAAAGTCTGTATCTCTTTGAATCTAGTTTCTGTATGAGTGCTAACTCAATAGTTGAAAGTAGAGATTACTAACTCTAAAGGCGTGACATAATTTTACTCATATATGACTTCAAAGGGTTTGTGGCATGTGGATTAGCTGGTAGACCTGGGTGTAAGCAAACTCAACTTGAGGAAGAATTAAGTCTCACTGACTGATGCTTTTTCCCACAAAGCTCTTGAGGGGACTTCATAAATTGTGAGTTATAATAATTGCCTTTTTCATTTATCTGGAAGAGCATTGTTGAACTGAACTGGAGCCTTGTAAGTATGCAAAAAAAGACTTACAGATTTCACACTCCTATCTAACATGATGGTCCTGGGCACATCATGAAGATGTACTAACTTCTTTAAGCACATGTTTGTAATGTGTGAAGTGTCCATTGTTCTATGGCTTGGTAGCATTCCATTTTGGAGCAGCGGTCTACTATCACAATTAAAGAATCCTTGCTCCATTGGTCCATGGAAAGCTCACAATAAAAGCAATGTTCACATCCACCTATATATGACTTTGGAAAGAGGATGGAATTGCATAGACTTGTTTTATGCCCTCTAATATCGGATAAGTGATATTCCCTACATTGTTGAACATGCCTCTCCATATGTTACACCAATCTAAACAAACAAAAATTCTCTATCGCTAGGGAAATCATCTATTCCTTGCCTAAATGTTTAGTCATTCTTATAATATGATTCTCCAATAAGATAGTCTTAATAAGATAACTCTTAGGAATGCACAACCTGTATCAAATGAACAAATAACAATTAGATTTATGTTACAAATTATAGTTTCTCTCTTTACAATCGGTCCAAATTTCCGAAAAGTTCTCATTAGTCGAGTACAAGCTTTCGACATCTTAAAATCAATTACCTTTGTCTGCATAGTAACAATCAATAAGTGGTGACGCCTCAATGCATCAACTATATTATTTTTACTCCCAACATCGTGCGTGAACTCAAAATGAGAAAAAGATAGAAATTTTGCCCAGGAGGTATGTCTTCCTTTCAACGTATTCTGGCTATTTGTTTAGGAACTTAAAGGCTTCACGATCAGTATAGAAACTTCTTGCCATACATGAGATACATTCTTTTGGAATCATTTAAACTCTCACTACTGAAGGCGTGGGGTGACCACCTTGGGCTGAGTGTAGCTTCAAATCCAACATTAGAGGCATTACACTCAACTGTGATCACATGATTAAATAATGAAAGAGCTAGGACAGAGGATCAAGTAACTTGCTTCTTCAAATCATAAAAAATGGTATGGGCTTCATTTGGCCATGAAAATATGTTTGCCTTGAGGAGCTTTGTCAGTGGTACTACTATAGAACTGAAGCTATTGATGAACCTCCGATAGATTGACGTTAATCTATAAAATTAGCACACTTGGGTAAATGATTGTGCTTGTCCAGTTTCATTTTGCCCTTATATTGGCTGGATCCATCTCATTATCAGCTGCTAAAGCAATATGTGGAAGGAAGCATGTTTGTTGTCTCAACAAGTGATACTTCTTAGATGCTTTGTTTACAAAACTTCAAAAATCCATGATAGGTGTTGCAAATGCTCTTTTGAACGGTTGTACATCAGAATTTCATTAAAATAAACAATTATAAGTTTTCTTAATCCTCAAAAAGCATGGTTCATCAGCCATATAAAAGTACATGGGGCATTGTGCAGTCTTCCACTCATTCTTAGGTGTACGCATTGTGCATATTATCTTAGAGAAATGTTATAGCTCAATGTAATTGAGCTAATAAATCATCAAATCGTGGAATTGTGAACTATTATTTAATGATAATTTTAATCAAAGCTCGGCTACTAATGCACGTATGCTATGATCTATCCTTCTTGGCATAATCAAAGTTAGTAAAACACAGGAATGGTACTTTAGGAACAATCCATTGACCATCAAATCAACCTATTTTTGCAATTTATCCTATTTCATTGGTCACATTCTATAATTTTGTTAGTATCCTAGGATGTGATCTATGTTACTTTCAATCTCTTATAGGGGTGATAATATTTTTGAATATCTTGAAACTTATCCAATAGAGGCTACTCTACTTTCGGTATACGTTCTTCCATATCACTCCATTTCAATATCACCAAGGCCAGTCCCACTAATCCCCTCTTGTAGCCTATGGAAATGTGGTGCATGGGACTACAACTCCAATTTTTGTGTGAATACTCTTTTATGTTAATTCTTTCGACGACAAAAGTGTATTATGCATTTCCGTCTTTAATCAATTGTATGTATTTTTATGGCCACCACGAATCATGACCTTATCACCATGTTCGCTCATGACGCCATGTTTGATCCAACAAAATGTGATATGCATTCTTAGACACGAAGTGACATTATCGCTCTTGTAATTTGTCTCTAATGGAAAACTCTACTAGTCATTTCATGTGAATATTGATCTAATTCCCTTTCTCAACCAAGTTAGGGAATATGACAGTATTCCTAGGTGGCAAAACTTAATTTGTCCATTATTTTGATAGACACCACATTCTTACATCTATCTTCATCAATAATAAGGCTACTTGCATTCTTCTTCACGGTATAAGTATAATAAAGTTATGCCTAACCTACTGCTTCTCTCTTTTGAGCTCAATTTGAGGAACTCATCAAATTACAAGCATCTTATATGTGTTGTAAGCTAGTATTCCTTCCTGTATCCTTATCTCCAGAGGCTCCATTATTTAGTTCCTATTCAATGAAAGAAGTCATTCTTTTGTTTATGCAATTGAATGCAATGTGAGTATTAATGAGACTTGAAACACTTATTTTTTGAAAAGTTCTTGGGGGTACTCTTCAGATCATTCTTTATTTCTGCCTATGCTGAATTCTCTTAATGTAATTTTGGCACTCTAGTCAGTGTATCCTTACTGTTGGACCCCATAGTCGCACCTTTTTTGATGGCTTTTGGATTTGATATTGTTTTGTTGCTTCTCCAACTTTAGAGCTAAGGTTTGTATTTCCTGCAAGGTCTAATAGGACTATAACTACATCAAATTACCAATAGAATTTCTCAATTCTCCAAGATGTTGGGTTATATTATTGTCCTCTTGCTCCATCAACTTATACTTCAACATGGCTTTTTCAAACTCAACAATATACTCATCTATTGTAAAAAGTAAAATCTTTGAAAGATAATTTGTATGGAAGATACTTGCCCTATATCTCATTCATCTTAGGTTATAGTATTCTCCTTTGGCTCCATCAACTCATACTTCAACATGAGTTTTTTGAACTTAGTGATATACTCCTCTTTTGTAAATGGTGAAGTCTTGCGCTACATTTCTTTTTTCATCTTGGATCAGGTTATAATTTTGATCATTCTCTCACGTTGGATCAAACCTTTCAACTTATCCCACTAGCGGGAAGTACTCTTCCTTATATTAATTGCAACTAGCTTCACCTTTTTATTAAGTGGAATGTTTTTTACTCAAAGCTCCATTCCACAGTTTAGAGTCACTTAATTGGAATGTTTTTTACTCAAAGTTCCATTCCACAGTTTAAAGTCACTTAATAAACTCATTCAGATCTATATGACCATCAAAATTTAGGAAACCAAGCTTTAATCTAAAAGTCTTCTTTCTTTTCTTGTATTCAATGTCAAATTGACGTCAAAACTATATAACTTGAGGACTCTCGGTGAAAGGGGTTCTCATAATCTTTTCCATTCAGATAATCAACCTTGACTTTGTTTGACATCTTCGTACTGTCTTCGTTCAAAATCAATGAGCAAGCATTATAGTTGGAGGATTTTCTGCTGCATATCCTGTATGATAAACTCTTGAATATTCCTTCGGAGGTTTCTCTTTAGTGGCATAGTGATTTGCTCTCTAGTTAGGGTTTTGGCTAGGTAAAGGTGTGTAGGTTTTAGTATTGGCCAAAAGCTTGAGGTTTAGGTGAAGGGTGAAGATCGGTTTTGGTGGAGGCAGGATGGTTAGGTTTTGTGGGTTTAGGGTAGGGTAGAAATTGGGATTAGGATTTGGCTCTTATACCAAATGACATTGATCTAGGATGCCAAGTTAGTGTGGATGGATTTACAGTATTGGTGTGTTTGTATAATGATAGGAAAGGAAAATGATACTGGAGGAAAAAAAAATCCAAATTATAAATGAAATTTTTATTAATAGGAAATGGGGTTTACAACACATAGAAGCTGGAAATACCATCACCAAAATATAAATCGACACAAACAGACACCTCGAGAGTGTATTCTAAGAGGCGGTGGAGGTCGCCAAGGTGGATCGGGATGGTTGGCCAGCAAGTGGAGAGGCTGGACAGGAAGCGAGAAGGCTGGTAGTGAGTGGGGAGGTTGTATAACACACAGAAAAAGCTGGACAATGAGCGGCGAATGCTGAACAGCAAGAGAGTAGGCTGGATAGCAAGCTGGCTGGATAGCAAGAGGGCAGGCCCAAACAGCAAGCAGGGAAGTTGTGGGTGGCTGATGGCTAAGTGAAGTGGAGAAGAAGAGCTAGGGAGATAAAAGGAGTGATACAATTACCACCTCGGAGTAGGATATGGTAGGAGAACCACTACCTCATCGAATACAACCCACAAAGGGGAAGAGGACTCCTCACTAAAATCTAAAATTCACACATAAAAAAAACTTCTTAAACTCTTAGCAAACCAGCATACATATAGCCCTAGCTTGGCAGGAAACAAGAAAGGAAAGAAGAGGGGAAAGGAAAGAGGAGGAGGCGGCTAGTAATGCTCGAACCGAGCGGGATACGCAAAAGGAAAGATGCCAATGCCGCCTCTCGCCCAAATCCCGCTCGATCTAGGCGGGAAATGTGGAAGGATAGGTCGCCTGGTTCGCCTGATGTCGCTTGCCCCATTGGATGGTTTGACTGGCCTTACTAATTGGTTTAGCCGGCTGCTTGCTTTCCTAGCCCCCCTGGGTCAGCGACAATGCGTGAACCCGCTCCTGCATCCACGCGGGGGAAGCCCCGCATCAGGAAAATCCAGCAAAACGAGAAGGATTTAACTTAGAATATGTGGGACAGCTGTTGTCTCGTTGGAGGACAGCAAAGAAGCCGACCAACAGCTGTGGGGGATTGATACGAGTGTCTCGGATGAACCACTGCTGATTTTAAGTCCGGGTACAAGTACACCACCTTAAACAAAAGAGGTTACAGCACTATGAAGGAAGAAGATAACGATAAAAGCAACCACTAATCTTCAAGTCAAGCAAAAATGTATTCTTGCAGATCTCCCAACATAATACCTGTGCTAAGACATCAATAAACCTTAATTTGAATTCAAAATAAAGCAAATATGGGCCCCACAAGGCCCACCTTCCCTTTATGTTGGAAAAAAAATTCCCATCATGTGATGCTCTCTGTGGAAATTTTGGCCCTCATTCTTGACTACCAACCAGTCTAAGCAGGAGTATTGCTTGGACGTCACTAAGTATACCCGGGCTACTCACATGGTTTGTTGGTTCCATCACCCTTTTCTTCAATTTTCTAGATTTCTGTTTTCCATTTCACAACCTTCTTCCCTCCTTCCTCTTCCCGCATGCTGCTATAAGTGATTTCTATTTATTGTGCTTTACGTTGCTTCCTCTTTTTGGTCTTTCACCTGTGTCGGATTGCTGCTCTAATTCATTGTTGACTACTTAATTTGTTGGGTATGTTAACAGTGCTTGGCTTTTTGCAGAGCAAATTAAGATCAATGAAGAGCAAAATTTGCCTTATATGTATTTTGGTTTCAAATGTGTGATACGACATTTTTTGAAATGCCTGTAGATATTTTCGTTTTCCTTCAATCGAAAGTATTTTGCAGGGAATTTCTCATGATGCGATGTGCATGTCATTTCCATATTAGGACAATTTAGGAAAACTTGACCCTGGAAATGAAAATTAGTCCCTAGTGAAATTCTTGGCAACCTATTTCCCGAAAGAATTTCTCTTTGCCTTATTCTTCAAGGTTTCCATTAGCGATCTCTAGGGCTGTCAAAACTGCTCGTTATTCGAGAACAGCTCGTTAAGACGCTCATGTTCGGCTATATGTTCTTTTATGTTTTACTTTTTTTATAGCTAAATACTATATATATATATATATATATTTATATATTGATGAGTATTATTTTTAAAAAAATTAATTGACTACATTATTAATAAAAAGTATTAATTAAGAAAATAGAATAAACATTATTAAATTAGATTCAAATGATGTTTTAATATAAATAATAATTTTTAAATATTGCCCTAACTCTTAACATCTTATGGCTACGTGATTAGGGTTGTCAAAAAGACGCTTTGTTCGTGAACAGCTCGTGTTCGGGTCGTTAAGCAAACGGGCCGAACACGAACACACCTTTTGAGCTTGAAATATAAACTAGCCGAACACGAGCTGAGCCTAGGTTCGCTCGTGTTGGGCTCGTTTACACCTTTAGCGATGTTTGGACAGAGCGTTTGTTAGCTGCATTTAATGGGGCTAGCATTTCTATGAAAATTAGAGCAGGGTAGTAAATATTGTTCATGGAAACATTTGTGCTGCTTATTTTCAGAGAGATGATTAGTTTTAATCTTATTGATCTCAAGAGATCCTATTGTTAGTAAAATTTTCTCTGAATGCTCACGTCTTGCTATATGTTATTTTTTGAATTTATGCAATATTTGTATTGAATCATTGTGTAATAATATCCTAATTGCATGACTTTCCAAATCTTCATTTTGTTATTTTTTAAGCGGCTCATTTTATTATCTTCACTGGAACTTGGTAAATTTTTTTCCTTATTAATACCATCACTAATTTTTTATTTTGTGGAAATATACGGCATAAATGCGACGGGCCTTCTTTTACTTTGATCACTTCAATTCTCTAGGAGAGTGGTTGCTTTGCTGAGTGCCAATGCTGAATAAATTGTCTTGATTCAGTTATCAGATTCTAAAACTTGATTACCTCTACTTGAGACCGAATTCTTATCTTACTGTATATTTCTATATGTTAGGCATTATCTCTTGGATTTGATGAGGGTAACTCCCCGTGATGTTAATTACAATGGACCTGGATCCCGATTCTGTGTGTTGAGGCCAGAACTTATTTCTTCCTTCTGTGAGGTAAGTGAATTTGTTTCTGCTTTATGGAATTGCTAAAGATGTTCAACTTTTGATGATTTTTTTTTGTGATTTTTTGAATTGAATTTGATGAAGGTTGAATCTGGAGAGCAGCTGGCTTCACAATCTAAACATGAAGTAGAGCAGCGGGATTCACTATCTAATCATGAAGCCCCACCATCATCTGATTCTCCAAGTCTTGATGATAAGGCGAGCAGCAAAAGCTTTCTGTATTGTGCTTGACTTTTGATTGCTCTTGCAGCTTTTTCTACGTTTGATAATTTATTGAATCTGCTCCACCAGTTTAAAGAGGTTACATGGACAACTGGTTCAGCTAGTTGAACCTATAATCATGACACGCTGTATTTGGGATGGAAACAACTAAAAAGTCACTAAAACTTTTTAAAGTGCTATATAGAGTATAAGATCATTATATTTTTTTTCCTTTGAAGTTTTGTTCTCAATCTCTCTTTTTTTAATAGGAGAATTTGAAGGAAGAAGTTGAGGATGATAGAAACACAGCTTCTGTTACTGCTGAAAGTTCTCAAGCATGGAAAGAAATATGCTTAAATCCGAATGTTTTTACCGAGTTTAAAATGGCAGGAACTGATAAGGTAAATTGTTAAGATTTATTAACTATTATAATTTCAATTTCCCCCATCCCAACTACCTTTTAAATTGCTTTGTTTCTTTTAATTTTGCATTTTCTGCATTTTTAGGAGATTGCCACTGATGAAGCATTAGTGAGAAGGGCTGGTTCTTACCTCGTGGATACTGTTCTTCCCAAGTTTGTGGAAGATCTTTGCTCCCTAGAGGTTTCACCCATGGATGGTCAGACATTAACTGAAGCACTTCATGCTCATGGGATAAATGTCCGGTATCTTGGTAAAGTAAGTAGTTCTTGTTTTGTATTTTTTACTGGCATTTTCCTTCTCCATTTAATTATAAATTTCATTACCTTCTCAGGTAGCTAACATGATGAAGCATTTGCCTCATATATGGGATCTTTGCACCACCGAGATCATTGTTCGGTCAACTAAGCATATCCTGAAGGTGAAATTTTTCTTACTGTTGTGTAATACTTGTTTTAGAAATGTGATGAGTTTGTGGGAAGGCTTGCTGCGTAGAAATAATTAACTTTTATATCAAAAAATTTCATTTGACAGGTTTTTGTCTATGTTATTCTGTACACTTTATGTGCAATAAATAGCCTAATATGATTTAAGCCTTAAAATATGTTAAAATACTCTACAAAAGCCGAAGTGGCCATAGACCAAGTAACATAAGTCATTAGGCCAAAGTAAATCTGAACTGGGCTAGCTTTTCGGCTTCTTAGGCTTTTTATATTTATGGTCAAATTGATTTGATTTTATTTTATTTTTCAACTTTATATTAGGTTTTGTCTTCTTTAGGATTAGAATAGACTTCAATTTAAAGTTTAATGGGATTAGACAGGATTAGATTTGTATGTTAATATTTAGCTCTGTTGTTGTAAACCTATGTTTGTTATTTGGGATGCATAATGAAAATTTGGATTATTGTTATTGAATGTGATATTTTTTGTAGTTAAGCGAGTATTTTCTAGATCCAAGTTGTGTACATGGATTGCTTAAAGTTGTGAATGGGAAGTCTTTTTTCTTCCCCATTCATTAGGTTGAGTACGTGAGTTATTGTGGAAAATCTCACAACTTGGCATGAAAATTGATTAGCTGATTTTCATTAAAATTAGTCTAAACCTAGTACACTTTTTTTCTTATCTTGTGGGAATTGCAAGAGATGACCAAGTTTTGTATTAAAAAATACTTTGCATGAAAACGGATTAGCTGATTTTCATTAAAATTAGTCTAAACCTAGTACCACTCTTTATCCGATCTGGTGGGAATTGCAAGAGAAATGACTACATGAAAACTTGCAGTTTACTTTTATTATTTACAATCATTTATTCACCCCAAGCCTGTTCATAATAATTTTGGTGAATATCTTGCTTAAAATAATCAATTTTAAGCGCAGGTCATTATTAACTTGATTGGTAATAATAAAAAAAGTCACTTCTTTAGAAACTAAGAAATCACACCATTGGATTAGAACATGTCGTTGAAACAATTGATGGAAAACCTCTTTGCATAAATAGGAGCTAATGGGGCATCTACTACTAGCCAAACCATCGTACCACAAAACCCACTTCCATATAACGATAATTTATTCTAGAATTTCTTGTGATTTATTTCTTGGTATAGACCAGCCTACACATACCACTATTCTGCACAAACATGAAGGTTTATTTTATTTATCAAATTTGTGTTTGTAATAGCTTTGCTAATCAAGAGTATCTCCACCAAAAACAACATTGGTATGGATTAATTTTGTAAAGCACCAGTTGCATCCGTGATCATACTACTGATGATTATCATGATCCTACCGATGGATCAAAGATGATTCTCCTGCTTTCAAGGGTCTCAATGACCTTGATGCTTACATAGATTTTGAATCTGTGATGGATATCTTTCTTGCTTGACATGAGATAGATGACATACAATGTTAAACTTGCCAAAATGAAATTATCAAAATCAGCAAAATAATTTTTTTGAATATCATTTTTCAATAACATTATTCGTGATATTAACTTGGATGGAAGTTCTCCCATCTCAGGTTTTTAATTGAATAAAATTTTAAAGCAATAGTATGTGCCTCTGCACCATAAGAGACACCTTGTGAAGGTTCTCTTGAATTTTGAGAAAGTTTTTCAATCAATAATTGTTCACTTCTATTTGTTTGAAGAGCTTGTATAAAAATGCAAGATTTCTGAGGTTGATTGGTTGACCATGAGATTTATCAATGTTCTTCTTCCTAACAAAATGTTAGAAATGCAGTAATGTAACCATGGCAACATCGAGGATTCTCATCCTATGACTTTTGTTTTAGAAATATATTGTATGCTTTCATCATGAACTTGTTCATCATCGACTAATCTTGGTAGGTGGTTGGCTACTTAGGTTGTAAACTCTTGATTTCAACTTGGGTTGACCAATGTTTTAACACAATCAAATTGCTAAGGTTTTGTTTCTAAATTTTAGTCGACAAAATAACTAGAGAATGTGCCAGTTAAATTAGTTCACATTTTGATGATCTCCTGCTTCAGGTGTTGCCTGAGAGGCCATACCATCAGATAATGCCCTAAGGTTAATTTTTGGTGGATCATGAAAATTTAGATTCCAATGGCATAAAAGGTGAGTTTTTGATGATATGATTGATTATGAACCTCTAACTAATCAAAATACTTGGTTTCTTTACAACAATTGAGTGCAATTGCACGTTGTGTGATGCATTTTCACGTCCCCAACCACTTTTTGAGGATTGAAAACAAAGTAGTATTTTTTTTTATGCATCCAATTTGCAAAACAAGAAAGCTGGAAATTAGTCATCAACGGTGGAAGTGCCATGAATATTTTTTTTTCAAAATAAGCTTTATTTAGGATTTTCTTGACATTAGAGTCGCTGCTACTTTTCATTTGGATTTGGTGAATTAGGCATATATATTTATTGCTGAGCATTGTCTTGTTTATATTCAGGTGGGTAGTTATAATGACAATGTCAAAGATAAAATCTAATGTTTTGTTCTACTCATGTAATATCACACGCATATTCTTAAATTATCCATGTTTTTTTACCCTAAATGTAATTCATTTTGAGCAAAAGTCAATAGTTTTGAAATTTAATGATATGTTTATTCATTTTCTATGCTATTCTACTTTTTGATTAAGGATCTGTTTGAGGCAGTTACAACTTATCAATAAGTTGTTGCGGATAAGCTGATTAGCTGTTTTTTTTTTGCAGTTTGAAAATAGTTGTGCGACAGCTGTTTCTGGACAAATGATCATTCTGCCCTTGTAGTAATGTTTTTTGTAATAAAATTGTCATAGCAATATATTTGATATTTGAGAAGCAAAAATTCACTTCAGAATAATATAAAAAATAAGATATACACCCCACTTAACAATGAGCATCATCATGATTACTAAAATAAAGAATAAATTATTAAAATAATATTTAATAATATGATAATATTTTTTTTAAATGCAGACGACGAATGTCACGAGCTATGCCGTCCTCTAGTGATACTATCCATTTTCGATTACTCTCAACAGTGGAATTTGCCAATTTGTCTGCCCATCGGAAAAAGTCACACTTCTCCATGGTTCTCCTTGGGCACCTGCAAAACCGTCTCCCGTGGCTATGTGGCTGACATGACGTCAGCAAGGAAGCCTGATGTCCACAATGACACAGCAATCCTCAGGACGTCCCAGAAATCCTAGAGCTCATCTTTTTTGAATGTTTTAAAAGAGAATTCATTAGTCATAATACAAGTAGAAATTGATAAAAGTAATTAATTATAGTTTTGTGCAAGTGCGAGGTCTCACAGAATTCAATATACCAACCGACGAATCTTAATACAAGAAGACATAACCTTATAAAAAAAGAGTTCTTGGTTGTCTTTAACTCACGTAATTTCAAGCTCGTGTGTATCACATACGCATATCACCAAATAAGGTCATCCAGAAGACCCTCAAAAGACGCAGCACTGAATAGCTACGAGTGGAGAAGAGGATCCACCATTTATTCCTAAATTAGATAAGGATACACCATCAACAAAAAGAAAAGATGTAGCACTTTGATGAGCATAAGATATAAAACATCTCTAAAACACAAACACAATAACTTCTAGTCCCCAAAAGAGCAAAATACGCTAATATTGTCTTCTAATAGAAAGGAGCCTAATTGAAAATAAAGAAATAGGAAATAAAAACATAGAAATAAGAAAATAACAAATAAGCTAGAGAATACAAGAATCCGCACTGAATTTCCCAATTAGGTGAAATTTTCTCTGATCAACTCTCCATCTTTTTGTTGTTCAGACTCGTCGGAGACTCGCTAAAATCCCCAAAATTCTCTACCATGACAAGAATCAGTCCTGGTCCATGATCCCATAGTTGCGAGATCAATTTTGTGATTGTGGAATCCAGAATATCTCTGGATGACTAGAGCTCTCGCATCATTCTCTCTAATTTGGAGAGGCTTCTCCTTTTTCTCTAGAGGTTTCTGGAACTGATCTACCTTCACCATAATAAAGTCGTCATATTGTAGCGTCGAAGGCAGCCACTCTATAAAATCTATGTTTGTATTCATTATACGCAAACTCTAAAAGACATAAGTCCTTCCAAAGTTTATTTTGATAGAATAAACAATTATTTTTGCTCACTTGGAGTTGGAACTGTTCTTTGATGGGTGCTTTTACAAACCAAATCTCAAAACATTAAATTTGTAACATGTTTCTCCCACACTTCATGCTCAGCTAGGCCCGTCTAATAAAGTCTGTCTGGAGGAATCGACCATGGAGTGAACTCTATGGTATGCTAGACCATCATCAGTGGCAGGCTACGCCACTTTGTGTACTCTTGTTGTTTGATCTTGAGGTTGAACTTGGCTTTTAAGGTGTGATGGTCACTTGGTGACGTTTCTCGTCCTTCAAAGTTAGGGTTTGTACATTGAATAAAAATCAATATGATTGCAACTGAACCACATTTTTTAATAGATGACTTTAGTCCTCCCAGATATCTCGCAGAATCTCTTTGGTTATAAAATTCATCAGTGCACTCTTCCACTGAAGAATCTCTCTAGTATAGGTGATGGAGTTTAATGAATACATCCTGACGTTAATACTAGTAAATGTATTTGTGCTGCATCTCCCATTTCGGGTCTATTTGGGGCAGCCGCAGCTTAATAATGTGCAGCAACTGCCATAGGAAGTTGTTACGCATAAGTTACTGTGCAGAAGCTGTCGCGGATAAGCTGGTTGTCTGCTGTTTTTTATAGTTTTAAAATAACCGTGTTCTAGCTGTTTCTGGACAAATGATCATTCTGTTCCTATATAGTAATGTCGTTTGTAATAGAATTGTCATACCAATGTATTTTATGTTTTAAAAGTAAAAATCCAATGCAGAACATTATAAAAAAAAAAAAGATATATACCTCACTTAAGAGTATTATGATTGCTA